CTTCATGTAACTATCCTTTATGAGAATCCCTTCAAGTAACTATCCTTTATGAGAATTCCTTCACCTGACCATCCTTCATTAAAAATTACTTCATGTAACTATCCTTTATCAAAATTCATTCTTGTAACTATCCTTTATGAGAATCCCTTCATGTAACTATCCTTCATGAGAATTCCTTCATGTAACTATCATTTATGAAAATTCCTTCTTGTAACTATCATTTATGAGAATCCCTTCAAGTAACTATCCTTTATGAGAATTCCTTCAAGTAACTATCCTTTATGAGAATACCTTCATGTAACTATCCTTTATGAGAATCCCTTCAAGTAACTATCCTTTATGAGAATTCCTTCAAGTAACTATCCTGCATGTAACTATCAATGAGAATACCTTCATGTAACTATCCTTTATGAGTATCCCCTCATGTAACTATCATTTATGAGAATTCCTTCATGTAACTATCATTTATGAGAATCCCTTAAAGTAACTATCCTTTATGAGAATTCCTTCATGTAACTATCCTTTATGAGAATCACTTCATGTAACTATCCTTTATGAGAATTCCTTCATGTAACTATCCTTTATGAGTATCCCCTCATGTAACTATCATTTATGAGAATTCCTTCATGTAACTATCCTTTATGAGAATTCCTTCTTGTAACTATCATTTATGAGAATCCCTTAAAGTAACTATCCTTTATGAGAATTCCTTCATGTAACTATCCTTTATGAGAATCCCTTCATGTAACTATTATTTATGAGAATGCCTTCATGTAACTGTCCTTTATGAGAATCCCTTCATGTAACTATCCTTTATGAGAATTCCTTCATGTAACTATCTTTTATGAGAATCCCTTCATGTAACTGTCCTTCATGAGAATTCCTTCATGTAACTATCATTTATGAGAATTCCTTCTTGTAACTATCATTTATGAGAATCCCTTTAGGTAACTATCCTTTATGCTTATTCCTTCAAGTAACTATCCTTTATGAGAATATCTTCATGTAACTATCATTTATGAGAATTCTTTCATGTAACCATCATTTATGAGAATCCCTTCAAGTAACTATCCTTTATGAGAATTCCTTCAAGTAACTATCCTTTATGAGAATCACTTCATGTAACTATCATTTATGAGAATTCCTTCAAGTAACTATCCTTTATGAGAATTCCTTCAAGTAACTATCCTTTATGAGAATACCTTCATGTAACTATCATTTATGAGAATTCTTTCATGTAACCATCATTTATGAGAATCCCTTCATGTAACTGTCCTTTATGAGAATTCCTTCAAGTAACTATCCTTTATGAGAATCACTTCATGTAACTATCATTTATGAGAATTCCTTCATGTAACTATCCTTTATGAGTATCCCCTCATGTAACTATCATTTATGAGAATTCCTTCATGTAACTATCCTTTATGAGAATTCCTTCTTGTAACTATCATTTATGAGAATCCCTTAAAGTAACTATCCTTTATGAGAATTCCTTCAAGTAACTATCCTTTATGACAATCCCTTCATGTAACTATCATTTATGAGAATGCCTTCATGTAACTGTCCTTCATGAGAATCCCTTCATGTAACTATCCTTTATGAGAATTCCTTCATGTAACTATCTTTTATGAGAATCCCTTCATGTAACTATCCTTCATGAGAATTCCTTCATGTAACTATCATTTATGAGAATTCCTTCTTGTAACAATCATTTATGAGAATCCCTTCAAGTAACTATCCTTTATGCGAATTCCTTCAAGTAACTATCCTTTATGAGAATACTTTCATGTAACTATCATTTATGAGAATTCTTTCATGTAACCATCATTTATGAGAATCCCTTCAAGTAACTATCCTTTATGAGAATTCCTTCAAGTAACTATCCTTTATGAGAATCACTTCATGTAACTATCATTTATGAGAATTCCTTCATGTAACTATCCTTGATGAGAATCCCCTCATGTAACTATCCTTTATGAGAATTCCTTCATGTAACTATCCTTTGTGAGAATTCCTTCTTGTAACTATCATTTATGAGAATCCATTCAAGTAACTATCCTTTATGAGAATTCCTTCAAGTAACTATCCTTTATGAGAGTCCCTTCATGTAACTATCATTTATGAGAATTCCTTCATGTAACTATCCTTCATGAGAATCCCTTCATGTAACTATCCTTTATGAGAATTCCTTCATGTAACTATCATTTATGAGAATCCCTTCATGTAACTGTCTTTTATGAGAATTCCTTCATGTAACTATCCTTTATGAGAATTCCTTCATGTAACTATCATTTATGAGAATTCCTTCATGTAACTGTCCTTTATGAGAATTCCTTCATGTAACTATCCTTATGAGAATCCCTTCATGTAACTATCCTTTATGAGAATTCCTTCATGTAACTATCCTTCATGAGAATCCCTTCCTGTAACTATCCTTGATGAGAATTCCTTCATGTAACTATCATTTATGAGAATTCCTTCATGTAACTATCCTTTATGAGAATCCCTTCAAGTAACTATCATTTATGAGAATTCCTTCATGTAACTATCCTTTATGAGAATTCTTTCATGTAACTATCATTTATGAGAATTCCTTCATGTGACTATCCTTTATGAGAATTCCTTCATATAAATATCCTTTATGAGAATCCCTTCAAGTAACTTTCCTTTATGAGAATCCCTTCATGTAACTATCATTTATGAGAGTTCCTTCATGTAACTATCCTTTATGAGAATTCCTTCATGTAACCATAATTTATGAGAATTCCTTCATGTAACTATCCTTTATGAGAATCCCTTCATGTAACTATCCTTTATGAGAATTCCTTCATGTAACTATCCTTTATGAGAATTCCTTCATGTAACTATCCTTTATGAGAATTCCTTCATGTAACTATCCTTTATAAGAATCCCTTCAAGTAACTATGCCTTATGAGAATCCCTTCATGTAACTATCATTGATGAGAATTCCTTCATGTAACTATCTTTCATGATAATTCCTTTAATGTGCCTATCCTTCTTTCAAGTAGCTATCCTCCTTTATGAGAATCCCTTCATGTAACTATCCTTCATGAGAATTTCTTTCATGAAACAATCCTTTATGAGAATTCCTTCATGTGCCTATCTTTCATGAGAATTCATTCATGTAACTATCCTTTATGAGAATTCCTTCATGTAACTATCCTTCATGTAACTATCCTTCATGAGAATCCCTTCTTGTGCCTATCCTCCATGAGAATTCCTTGATGTGACTTATGACTATCATTAATGAGAACCTTTCATGTGACGTGTGCCTATCCATCAACAAAAAGCCATTCATGAAAAACCCTTCATATGACGTGACTATCCACAAGAAGCCCTTCATGGGACGTGACTATGTATAAGAAGCCCTTCCTGTGACGTGACTATCTATGAGAAACCCTTCATGTGACGAGACTATCCACAAGAAGCCCTTCCTGTGACGTGAATATCTATAAGAAGCCCTTCATGTGACGTGACTATCCATGAGAAGCCCTTCATGTGACGTGACTATCCACGAGAAGCCCTTCATGTGACGAGACTATCCACAAGAAGCCCTTCGTGTGACGTGACTATCCATGAGAAGCCCTTCATGTGATGTCACCATCTATGAGAAGCCCTTTATGTGACGTGACTATCCATGAGAAGCCCTTCATGTGACGTGACTATCCACGAGAAGCCCTTCATGTGATGTCACCATCTATGAGAAGCCCTTCATGTGACGTGACTATCCATGAGAAGCCCTTCATGTGACGTGACTATCCACGAGAAGCCCTTCATGTGATGTCACCATCTATGAGAAGCCCTTCATGTGACGTGACTATCCATGAGAAGCCCTTCAAGTGACGAGACTATCCACAAGAAGCCCTTCCTGTGACGTGACTATCCACGAGAAACCCTTCATGTGATGTCACTATCTATGAGAAGCCCTTTATGTGACGTGACTATCCATGAGAAGCCCTTTATGTGACGTGACTATTCATGAGAAGCCCTTCATGTGACGTGACTATCCATGAGAAGCCCTTTATGTGACGTGAGTCTCCAGTGGCCTGTAACTACGCCTGTAACCAACAGTACGAGTCTGACCTATGGAAGGTAATCTAGCGCTCTCGAAACAACGCCATACACAATAGACTGTTATGATATCATATGGCACAATCGGCAGTGGTGCGCACTCAAATAACCCCGGCTGTAGTACACCACTCCCCTCCACCCGTCGCCTCCCCTACCCAGTCACCCACACACTAAACGGGGGCCCAGGAAACAGTTACGAGAGGATACAATAGCTTCAGCCACTATAAGCTAGATCTAGATCCACGCTAAGAGGAAATCAAGGTTTAAAATGTTCCTCAAATTACAAGGTGTGTACTATATAACTGATCACTTAATGCAACAAAAGAGCAGTGGCAACATTATAGTTTCTCCGGCCACCTATGGTGACTTACGACGCTTTGCAGGTGCCACATACTCGACAGTGTTAATCACACCTGCGACAAGCAGTAATAAAAGAATGGTGGTAGGATCGGCAGCAACAGGAACCGCCGTTATGCAGGAATTTATAACCTGCTTATTGATGTCATCAACTATTCAACAAAATCAGCACGTTTCCGCCATCTGCACCAAGCTGCATCACAAACAATTATAACAATTAAATTTGTTTTACGCTGTAGGCTATAAACTTTAGAACTGGATATAAACGCTTTGTGGTGTACAAACACACGGCAGCTCTATCGTACAATAGCTCACACGCACACACAGTAAGTCTACCGACTTTGAGTTGTTACATTAATATAAGTATACGAGACAACAATAGCTATCGACGGTGTATAAAACAGTGCTTGTAACAGGGAGCATGACGAGATGATCCCATGGGGAGCACGGTGAGACGATCTCTACTACTTTACTATAGCAGGGCAGCAAACAGCAGCAGCAGCAGACACAGGTGGTTTTAGCATGAAGAGATCTGTAGAACAAACTCTTACCTGTATGATGACTCACATTATCTACTGGGGGGCTTTTCAGGAACCTCAGAAAATAATCCGGAAATCACAGAACTGAATTTCTTGCCTTGAATGAGCGAAAGACAGAAGTTGTGGTATTGGAGACTTCCGACAATCAGTGTTCCATTGCACGAACTCGTCGGGGCTGTGAAAGCGGGCGAAATTCGCTACCGGTCTGAGTTTCCTACTTATAGTCTGTTTTAACATCTGTTGTGACTGGAACCTGGCTGCTGACACCGTCAAACATCTCCCTCCTGCCACACGGCCCTCCCTCCTGCCACACGGCCCTCCCTCCTACCACACGGATTGTGTATCGATATTCAATGGCAGGCTCCAACAAACAGATACGTTTGGAACATGCCCGAATTACAAGATGGATTATAACTTAACATAATACGTCAGACAGCTCGACATACCACAATATACAACATCACACAATACGTCAGACAGACATACTACAACATATGATATTACACAATACGCCAGACAGACATACTACAATATACAATATCACACAATACGCCAGACAGACATACTGCAATACACAATATCACACAATACGCCAGACAGACATACTGCAATATATAATATCACACAATACGTCAGACAGACATACTGCAATACACAATATCACACAATACGCCAGACAGACATACTGCATTACACAATATCACACAATGCGTCAGACAGACATACTGCAATATACAATATCACACAATACGTTAGACAGACGTACGACAGACATACTGAAATATACAATATCACACAATACGTCAGACAAACATACTGCAATACACAATGTCACACAATACGCCAGACAGACATACTGCAATATACAATATCACACAATACGTCAGACAGACATACTCCAATTTACAATATCACACAATACGTCAGGCAAACACAGTACAATATAAAATATCACACAATACGTCAGACAGACAAACTACAATATACAATATCACATAATACGTCAGACAGACATACTGCAATATACAATATCACACAATACCTCAGACAGACATACTGCAATACACAATGTCACACCAAACGTCAGATAGACATACTGCAATACACAATGTCACACAATACGCTAGACAGACATACTGCAATATACAATATCACACAATACGTCAGACAGACATACTGCAATATACAATATCACACAATACGTCTTACAGACATACTGCAATATACAATGTCACACAATACGTCAGACAGACATACTGCAATATACAATATCACACAATACGTCAGACAGACATACTGCAATATACAATATCACACAATACGTCAGACAGACATACATGCAATATACAATATCACACAATACCTCAGACAGACATAGTGCAATTTACAATATCACTCAATACGCCAGACAGACATACTGCAATATACAATATCACACAATACATCAGACAGACATACTGCAATCACACAATGTCACACATATACACAGCCACAGACATACTGCAATATACAATATCACACAATACGTCAGACAGACATACTGCAATACACAACATCACAATAACGTACAGACAGACATACTGCAATATACAATATCACACAATACGCCAGACAGACATACTGCAATATATAATATCACACAATACGTCAGACAGACATACTGCAATACAACAATATCACACACAATACGCCAGACAGACATACTGCATTACACAATATCACACAATGCGTCAGACAGACATACTGCATCATTACAATATCACACAATGCGTCAGACAGACATACTGCAATATACAATATCACATACAATATAATACGTCAGACAGACATACTCGCAATAATAATATCACACAATACGTCAGACAGACATACTGCAATACACAATATCACACAATGCGTCAGACAATATGCACAATCACACAATGCGTCACAATATATACTGCAATATATAATATCACACAATACGTTAGACAGACGTACTCAATATACATAATATCAATAATACGTCAGACAGACATACTGCAATATACAATATCACACAATATACAATATATCACACAATACGTCAGACAGACATACTGCAATATACAATATCACAAAATACCAGACAGACAGACATACTGCAATATACAATATCACAAAATACACCAGACAGACATCTGACATAACATCACACAATACGTCAGACATACATACTGTCAACACAATACGCCAGACAGACATACTGCAATATACAATATCACACAATAGGTCAGACAGACATACTGCAATTTACAATATGACACAATACGTCAGGCAAACACAGTACAATATAAAATATCACACAATACGTCAGACAGACAAACTACAATATACAATATCACATAATACGTCAGACAGACATACTGCAATATACAATATCACACAATACCTCAGACAGACATACTGCAATACACAATGTCACACCAAACGTCAGATAGACATACTGCAATACACAATATCACACAATACGCTAGACAGACATACTGCAATATACAATATCACACAATACGCCAGACAGACATACTGCATTACACAATATCACACAATGCGTCAGACAGACATACTGCAATATACAATATCACACAATACGTTAGACAGACGTACTCCAATATACAATATCACACAATACGTCAGACAGATGTACTGCAATATACAATATCACACAATACGTCAGACAGACATACTGCAATATACAATATCACAAAATACACCAGACAGACATACTGGAATATACAATATCACACAATACGTCAGACAAACATACTGCAATACACAATGTCACACAATACGCCAGACAGACATACATGCAATATACAATATCACACAATAGGTCAGACAGACATAGTGCAATTTACAATATGACACAATACGTCAGGCAAACACAGTACAATATAAAATATCACACAATACGTCAGACAGACAAACTACAATATACAATATCACATAATACGTCAGACAGACATACTGCAATATACAATATCACACAATACCTCAGACAGACATACTGCAATACACAATGTCACACCAAACGTCAGATAGACATACTGCAATACACAATATCACACAATACGCTAGACAGACATACTGCAATATACAATGTCACACAATACGTCAGACAGACATACTGCAATATACAATATCACACAATACGTCAGACAGACATACTGCAATATACAATATCACACAATACGTCAGACAGACATACTGCAATATACAATGTCACACAATACGTCAGACAGACATAGTGCAATTTACAATATCACTCAATACGCCAGACAGACATACTGCAATATACAATATCACACAATACCTCAGACAGACATACTGCAATACACAATGTCACACAATACGCCAGACAGACATACTGCAATATACAATATCACACAATACGTCAGACAGACATACTGCAATACACAACATCACACAATACGCCAGACAGACATACTGCAATATACAATATCACACAATACGCCAGACAGACATACTGCAATATACAATATCACACAATACGTCAGACAGACATACTGCAACATACAATATCACACAATACGTCAGACAGACATACTGCAATATACAATATCACACAATACGCCAGACAGACATACTGCAATATACAATATCACATAAATACACGCCAGACAGACATGCTGCAATATACAATATCACACAATACGCCAGACAGACATGCTGCAATATACAATATCACACGATACGCCAGACAGACATACTGCAATACACAATATCACACAATACATCAGACAGACATACTGCAATATACAATATCACACAATAGGTCAGACAGACGTACTGCAATATACAATATCACACAATACGTCAGACAGACATACTGCAATATACAATATCACAAAATACACCAGACAGACATACTGGAATATACAATATCACACAATACCTCAGACAAACATACTGCAATACACAATGTCACACAATACGCCAGACAGACATACTGCAATATACAATATCACACAATACGTCAGACAGACATACTGCAATATACAATATCACACAATACGTCAGGCAAACACACTACAATATAAAATATCACACAATACGTCAGACAGAGAAACTACAATATACAATATCACATAATACGTCAGACAGACATACTGCAATATACAATATCACACAATACCTCAGACAGACATACTGCAATACACAATGTCACACCAAACGTCAGATAGACATACTGCAATACACAATGTCACACAATACGCTAGACAGACATACTGCAATATACAATATCACACAATACGTCAGACAGACATACATGCAATATACAATATCACACAATATCTCAGACAGACATAGTGCAATTTACAATATCACTCAATACGCCAGACAGACATACTGCAATATACAATATCACACAATACCTCAGACAGACATACTGCAATACACAATGTCACACCAAACGTCAGATAGACATACTGCAATACACAATGTCACACAATACGCTAGACAGACATACTGAAATATACAATATCACACAATACGTCAGACAGACATACTGCAATATACAATATCACACAATACGTCAGACAGACATATGCAATATACAATATCACACAATACGCCAGACAGACATACTGCAATATACAAACATCACACAATACGTCAGACAGACATACTGCAATATACAATATCACACAATACGTCAGACAGACATACTGCAATATACAATATCACACAATACGTCAGACAGACATACTGCAATATACAATATCACACAATACGTCAGACAGACATACTGCAATATACAATATCACACAATACGTCAGACAGACATACTGCAATATAACAATATCACACAATACGTCAGACAGACATACTGCAATATACAATATCAATATCAATATACGTCAGACAGACATGCAATATACTGCATACGTCAGACAGACATACTGCAATATCAATATCACACAATACGTCAGACAGACATACTGCACAATATCACACAACAATACGTCAGACAGACATACATATGCAATATACAATATCACACAATACGTCAGACAGACATACTGCAATATACAATATCACACAATACGTCAGACAGACATACTGCAATATACAATATCACACAATACGTCAGACAGACATACTGCAATATACAATATCACACAATACGTCAGACAGACATACTGCAATATACAATATCACACAATACGTCAGACAGACA